TCCCAGCGTTTTTACACAACTCTACACCTCCTTCAAAAGGTTTTTAAACTAGCTGCAACAACTTGACAAAAATTTGGACACGTGGTTACCTTTAGCCCGACACTGCACTATAAATTTTTGTGAGAAATTGTTCCACCTACGTGCACTCCGGAACAATGGTACAACTGTGACATCTGTTTGACATTGTGGATCTACAAAGCCCTAAACAGAGGCACTTCGGCCGAGTCACATATCAGTTAAGTTAAAGACGTGGATACAGTTTCAGGGCGGAACATACCAAGATGTTCCTCGACAAGCAGGAGTAGGCTCTCGTCCATCACCTTCATGTACACCAAAATATGAAGCCATCTCCAATCGCAGCCTGACTGGAGAAGGCCTGGAATTCACGTCACCTCCAAACAGCTGCGAAACTTCTTGTATGGAGTCACCCATGGACAGCTACCTGGGGACCGGCACTCTCGATCTGGAAGACCTCCAACATCGAGCAGCTCCGACAACGTCGCTACGGTCCAGGATATCATCTTCTCTGCAGTCGCCAAGGCGCGGGTTAGATGGTACGGACCGGAAGTTCCTGGAATGTCGTCGCCTGTACCATCTTGGAAACTTCGTAGTGCTACAGAATAGGGTGTCGCCGCATGGAATCGAAGGTCGTTGAGACCTGAAGAAGACGGAATATTCAAGTGTGTCACCTGACCTAAACCCCCTCAATTACCCGGTTCGGGCGGAGCTCAACAGGGTGGTCTACAGTGGCGGAGAAATCAACGACCTCGCTGAACTCAGGCACCGAATCACGGTCGCGTGGCAGAATCTCTCGATGGATTTCGTCCAGAAGGCTGTTTCGGAGTTCGCCATAGTGCACAATGTGTTGCTGATGATGGTGAAAATGTCCAATCAGAATTCATTAAAGTGTAACTTCTATCTTAAAAGTCGAGGAAGAAAAGTGTCTTTTTTTCGTTGCCCCCCCCTGTATGTGTGACCCAAGGACTTCAAGCTCATCAACTGACACGGGCGTCGTGATGTGGGAATGTGTTGGTGGTCCAATTCAATTTTATTCAGTTTTGCTGAGATCAATGACATAAATATAGTCGTTATCCCTGAAAACGAGGGCCCGTGTGGAGGGGCAACGATTGAAGCGCCGCCGCGACAGCGTTTTCCACACTCTCGTTTCCGGGGCTAACGGCTGTGATCGAGAGTGTGCATTGGCATACAGCAGAACGATGAAGACAAAATCTGACAGGGAGCTGCCTAGTATTAGGCTATGGCTGGGCTACTACGAACATCGGGAAGCTCAGATTTCAGTGAAGTCATGTCGATGCATCCTCCACTCATGTCTGAGGCAGCACCACGATATGAATTCCTCCTTAAAAGCCTTGCTTTTTAGGAATTGAAATTGAGAACCTCTAAGGAGTTCCATGTTTGAGAGTGCTTTTCATTACCTGACTGGACATCCAGGAGTACCTAACGAGTCTTGTGTGCTGTGCTGGATGTTATTCCAGCTTGACCGAAAATGTACTATCCCTTCTGAAACTGTTGATAAATACATGGCCGATTGATGTCCAGTTACAATTCCATGGAAATCTGCTCACCTTAACCCCTGTGCAATTCAAGCTACGTGTAGAATCAGGCGCGGAAAACGTCGAGTTGGGACTTGGTTCCCTTGATGGAGTAAGACTTCCACGGCGAGGAGCAGAACGTAGCCGATCGACAAGGGCAGCAACGAGGATCGTCCAAGCGCGACAAGCTTCCGGGAAGCCTCTCACACAGTCCTTAAATGTAAGGGGTTATTTTTACTTGGATGGTCAAGCTGTTAGTTTCAATGGCTACAGTCGTGAACAATCTCTGGGTTAAAGGATGGCCCGCGATGACCTGAAAATGCAGGAGGTTATGTGAGAAGGTAGTGCAGTCCGGAGTGGACAACCCTGTGCCAGTTTCGCGGCGGAAAGTTGTACGGTAAAGGAATTAAGGCGCAAAGTTGCTTCAGTGGTACATCCCTTTTCCAGTGACTCCGCCTCCAGACTCCGCCTCCAAAGTCGGCCTTCCAGCCAAAAGTAATGCTCCCGGGCAAGTATCATGGAGTGGATGCATTCAGTGTCTCTTGTAGAGTCATAAGGTTCATTACTGGGAATCAGCCGACGGGAATCGTCCCAGCGCGCGGTCTTTTCGGTCTTTTACCTCTACAGTTGTTTGAGGCTAGAGGAGGCCTGACGAATGCGTTTCCAACGTTTACTTTGGCATTTTCTCTTCATAGACGGTTCACTTGGCTAATTTTCTTCCACATTTCTGCAATATCATCTCGGCATTTTATCGCGGACCGTCCCTTCAAGTGGTGGAGGATGAAGCACATGGCGTCTACTTGGAATACGCCGCGCACTCGGGAACTGTGGTAGGATTAAGATGCGATTTGACCTCTACAACACATCGCCGTTATTCCGATGTAGAAGTCAGTACTCTCGTCACCCTAGGCGGGTGCGGAGCCGGTCAACCGAAAGAAGATGAAGGAGGATTGTATCCTGGATTTGACCCAGAGTCATGGACGGCCGTTTCTGACGGCAACACCCACACAATTTTGAGGCACCTAAAAAGGGATGAAAAGGATGAGTAGCCTTCGCGAGACGCGCTACGCAGTAAACCTCCCTCCATTAGGGAGACCTAAACGTTTATATGACATTAGCAGTGAAATGCAAGGATCAATCAACCGTCACCGTCAACCGTCAGAAATCATCATTTTCTCACGCTGACTCGTTGCCGTTGAGTGCCACTCCCTCCCCTTCCCCCTCAATCAAAGACTTGGTTGGCCTGAGCGAAATCAAATCCCAGGTTGTTCAAGCTCTTCTCTCCAAAGGCGCAACCTCCCTCTTCTGTGGCATTGATTGAGGCTGACTTTGCCACGACTTAATCTGTAGCCATTTTTAATGCCCACCTATTTGTAAAGAGACTAGTTTCACCTGTATAACAACGATATCGATGAAGTATTCGCCAATTTTTTCCCAGTGAGTTGAGCGGAATCCATACTGCTTCAGATAGGCGTGGCTCCTTCCTGAAATTTTATGACAATGACAACTCCGTGGAGTAACACTCTAGCGATTTAGAAACGACTTACCGATATTATCTATATGTTCGATGATGTTTTCTGGTTCCACATCAAGACTCTGCACAACCTTAAACAAACTTATTTGAACTCCTGGAGCGTCTGCTTTTTGTGATAAACTAACTAATCGATAAAGCTACGGGAATTTACAGATAACTGGAACTGGTCCCTTCACATAACAATCGCATCAAGTTTCTGTTTTTCTCGGCACACATCCTGTGACTGTCAGGGCACATCATCATTTGTTGGGGGTTCCCCAACAGGGGGTCGTATTTGGTTGCTGGGG